ATATACATAACATTATAATGAGAACACTATTATAATAAAATGCTGTAAATTTTTAGAGTTTAGTTGCCGTGTTTCTGCACGTTGTTGCGTGAAGAACGCGTCCACAAAAGGAGTTCATTCAGAGCCGCGCAGACACGTTCGTGCATTCGGGGCATTTTGTGCAGATAGCCTAGAAGTCGTAATATTAACATTATGTTGTATAAATAACGAAGCTTATTCTATATGAGATAATTGATGAGTCAAATCCCATTGATTAAAAACCTGCTGCTTCATTCTACTGGTCATCTTCAGCGCGCGCAACAGAAATGCAACACATTAATAACTATTATACATAACTTTATGATGAGAGCACTATTGTAAAAAATTTGAATACTTAGGGTTTCGCTGACGTTTAATGCTAACTATCTTTTAATCAAAACATAAAACATTATTTACCCCATTTGTATCTGCAAGGCGTCTGTTACACATTTTCCCTGTGTGTTAACGTAATTATGACTGTCGAATGTCTGACTTGACTCTTGGCAATGTATTTTGCCCTGCCCCCAAAACATATGATTCGACTATCAGTCGAATATCTGCAAGATTTGAAAATTCCAATTCAACTATGAAAATCCTTAGTCGGGGACACCCCTAGTAAATACATCTAAATATCACTTCAGATGCAGATTCCAGAAATGTTTTCTTATGTTGGAATGAAAGACACTAAGTACCGGATGAAGTGCTTCTTATTATTACCCAAAGATACAAAACGGAAGAAAGAGTTAAAACTAAACACAATCTTGCTACTCAGTATGAACATTTTAAATGTATATTTATTTGCTCCTTTTCCATTTTGCATTTACTTGTACGTGTTAACGTAATTATGACTGTCGAATGTCTGACTTGACTCTTGGCAATGTATTTTGCCCTGCCCCCAAAACATATGATTCGACTATCAGTCGAATATCTGCAAGATTTGAAAATTCCAATTCAACTATGAAAATCCTTAGTCGGGGACACCCCTAGTAAATACATCTAAATATCACTTCAGATGCAGATTCCAGAAATGTTTTCTTATGTTGGAATGAAAGACACTAAGTACCGGATGAAGTGCTTCTTATTATTACCCAAAGATACAAAACGGAAGAAAGAGTTAAAACTAAACACAATCTTGCTACTCAGTATGAACATTTTAAATGTATATTTATTTGCTCCTTTTCCATTTTGCATTTACTTGTACTTTTACTTTCAATACTTAAGTACGTTTAATATATAAAAAATACTTTTCGTACTTAAGTACAATAAATATCACATACTTTAAGACTTTTACTCAAGTAATA